GTGGAGGAAGAGATGGGGGAGGGAAGCACTGTCTGGAAGGAATCAGTCAAAACAAAATTTCTGCACAAGACTAAAAAATACAATGGATTCTAAATAATTAGGATAAAATAGATAAAAGCAGCCTTTGTGGGGAGAAAAAAAGAATTTGGTGGAAATTGAATTAATCAAAGATTAGAAAGGGGGGGAAATGTTTCCTTTGGCTTCTAGCAAGTGCCAAGCCACTTTGGCCAAAGCATGAGAGGTTAAATGATGTTCTGCAGAGTTGCTAAGCTAGTTATTTAGAACTGGAAGGATGAGAGTTCGCAGCCGCTGTCGCTCTCTAACGCCAGCACCTCCTCCAGCTCGCTGAGCTCCAGCCGAAGGAGAAGGGGGGTAAAGAGGTCCCTATACCATGGCTCGTACAAAGCAGACTGCCCGCAAATCGACCGGTGGTAAAGCACCGAGGAAGCAACTGGCTACCAAAGCCGCTCGCAAGAGTGCGCCCTCTACTGGAGGGGTGAAGAAACCTCATCGTTACAGGCCTGGTACTGTGGCACTTCGTGAAATTAGACGTTATCAGAAGTCCACTGAACTTCTGATTCGCAAACTTCCCTTCCAGCGTCTGGTGCGAGAAATTGCTCAGGACTTCAAAACAGATCTGCGCTTCCAGAGTGCAGCTATTGGTGCTTTGCAGGAGGCGAGTGAAGCCTACCTGGTCGGCCTTTTCGAAGACACCAACCTGTGCGCTATCCACGCCAAACGTGTAACGATTATGCCAAAAGACATCCAGCTAGCACGCCGCATACATGGGGAATGTGCTTAAGAACCCACGCTGATGGGAAACGTTTCATTCTTTAAAAAAAAAGAAATCTCTTCTTCCTGTTATTGGTAGTTCTGAACGTTAAATATTTTTTTCTTGGGGTCAAAAAGGTACCTAAGTATATGATTGCAAGTGGAAAATAGGGGACAGAAATCAGGTATTGGCCGTTTTTCCATTTTCATTTGTGTGTGAATTTTTAAAATATAAATGCGGGGACATAAAGCATTAATGCAAGTCAAGGTGTTTCAGTGAACAAGTTTCAAGCAGTTCAACTTTATAACAATATAAATAAACCTGTTAAATTTTTCTGGACAATGCCAGCATTTGGATTTTTAAAAACAAGTAAATTTCTTATTGATGGCAACTAAACGGTGTTTGTAGCATTTTTATCATACAGTAGATTCCATCCATTCACTATACTTTTCTAACTGAGTTGTCCTACATGCAAGTATGTTTTTAATGTTGTCTGTCTTCTGTGCTGTTCCTGTAAGTTTGCTATTAAAATACATGAAACTATAAAAAAAAACACAAAAAACTGGAAGGACGAGGCCATGCCCTGCCAGAGGTCCTCTGTCCACCTTCTGTCTTTGTTACTTAATGGCAGCACTTTTCTAACTCTTATATCTTGGGACCTTTTAGCCTCTTTAATATTATCAAAGGCCCCAAGGAGCTTTCACATATGTGAATGACATCTAATGGTATTTCTATTACATATTAAGACTGAGGCATTTTCAAAATATTATTTCAAATCAAGGCAACGACAGGTACTTACTTTTGTGTTCTTGTATAGACTTGAAGAAAAGTTCAAGATTTCAAGATACTAGTTTATTTGTTTGGTTTTTAAAAGATTTTATTCACTTAATTTTAGAGGGGAAGGGACAGAGAGGGAGAGAAACATCACTGTATGGTTGCTTCTGGTGCATCCCCTGCTGGGAACTGGCCTGCAACCCAGGCATGTGCCCTGACTGGGAATCAAACCATGATCGTCTACTTCACAGGCCCACACTCGATCCACTGAGCTATACCAGCCAGGGCTTCAAGATACTAGTTTATTTGAGAGTAACAAGGTTATAGCTCTCCTGACAGGTATGACCAAAGATAGCTAATAAAAATCACAGAAAGATTAAGAAGAGACATTTTATTAATCTTTAAAATTTGTTCAAATATATATATATATATATCCTTAACTACCATAGAATATACTAGAAAACATGCCCTGGCTGGTGTGGCTCAGTGGACTGAGTTCCAGCCTTCAAACCAAAGGGTCATTGTTTGATTCCCAGTCGGGGCCCATGCCTAGTTTCCTGACCAGGTCCCAGGTAGTGGGCACGGGAGAGGCAACCACACACTAAGGTTTTTTTTCCCTCTTTCTCCCTCCCTTTCCCTCTCTAAAAAAAAAAAATATATATATATATATATATTTATATATATATATATATATTTTTATATATATATTTATATATATTTTTTTTAGAAAAAGAAAAGAAAATGCTAGAAAACAGAAGACTACACATGCAGGCATTCTATATTAGTTAGCAGAGTGATAACATCATTCCACGGCAAATGGCCTCTGGAAATTTCTACTGTACATTAATGAGAGAACAGAAATGAGCTGGAAGGAGTCACTGGGAGCAGCTCAGTTAGACACAAGTTAGCGTGGGAGTGTTTTCCTTTTGTAAATAATTTATTGCCGGAATCAGTCTAGCTGAACTGGAGTTTTGGCAATAGTGCAGACGGCAAGGCAGAACACCCAATTCTGGGAAGCTCGTGCCAGGAGAGGTGCCAAAGCATCAGTCCTCATCTATGCTGCAAGAAGATACACCCAACCAGGTAATGAAGAAACAGCAACTCAGAAGTAACCCAGGATCATTCTGTGGAGAGGCAAGGACGGAAATCCAAACCTGGACATCTTGGGTAGGACAGACTCTGCAGCTTGAAAGTGCCAACCACGGATTTCAGGTGTGTGAAGGACACCCTACATCCTGGCTCCACTATCAATACCAACTCATTAGCTGCTGTGCTGTCTTGGAGCCCTGGGAGCCATCCATGTTCAAAGCCACCTCACTAATCATTTTTGCTATGGTGGTGTATACTGCCCATGTTTTTTACCCCAGTCCACATCCCCCTGGCTTGCGAATTTTTCTCCAAAATGTGTGGCTATCACAGGATACTTTCTCATTGATCAGAAACTTCCTAACCTAAAAAGCTCTCACTTCTCTATACACTCATATCCTGGCTGATATTTGAAATAGATGTCTCTTCAGGTTCTTTTATACATGTTACATTGTGCACCACGGATAATAAAATTACCTCATATACCGTATTTTCTCAACTTAAATCTATGACTTTAGATATTTCTTTAAATGGGGAAATTTCATATAAAATTTTCCTGGAACGTAGGCTCATAAGAGACCTACCAGAATCATATTTAAAATTCTCCCTTCATACCTATTCTATGGTAAAGGATATATTTTTTAAAATTTGCCCTGGCTGGTGCAGCTCAGTAGATTGGGTGCAGGCCTGGGAACTGAAAGGTTGCCAGTTAGATTCCCAGTCAGTGCACATGCCTGGATTGCAGGCTGGGTCCCTGGGTGGGGGCGTGTGAGAGGCAGCTGATTTATGTATTTCTCACACATGGATGTTTCTTTCCCTCTCTTTCTCCCTCCCTTCCCTCTCTCTAAAAATAAATACATAAATCTTTTAAATTTTTGTTCATAAGCTACTGTCAAATGTATCATATCCTTATTTACAACATAAAGATGTGAATAATTGTATAAGGCCCCTAAAGTTAATGGTTTTTTTTTACTAAACTACTGATACCTCAAATTCTTTGTCTGCAGGTACAGAAGAATGGGCTGGACTCAATCATCTCCTTTCAGACACGGTTCATGAATTATTTCAAATGTCTCCAAGTCTGGCTTTATAACAATTTAAAATCAACAATGTTGATTTTAGATAATAACCCATTAAGTGTTATGACACAAAATAATTTTAGGTATAAGAAACAAAATATAATCAAAGTAAATTCAGATGTTGTAACTTGTGATGTTGTCTTGCTTTGCATGATGCTGGAGGATAAGCCCAGTGGGAAGAAAAGTGCTTTTTTTCTGTTCTTTCACTCAGTGGGGGAGGGAGCATGTATTGAGCTACAGGAAGAAAAGCTAATAAATAGGCTCGAAGAAATAATCTACCCGCAGGAATTCAAAGCTCCAGTTAAATGCTTTGATATAGTGGCTCCTTTGGAAAACCAAAAAAAAAAAAAAAAAGGTTTATTAAATTTCCTTCAAAGTGTTTATCTTAAAAACAATTACAAGTTTTAAATTATACTGCTGTATCAAATATGAATGCCAAAGACCAGCATTGCGGTTTTTCTCTCCTCCAATAAATATTAATGTTAGCAATACTGGAGGGTAAAAATGTAAATAGTTTTTTGACAATTTGGACCTTTGTATTATGAAAAAATTTTTTTCTAAAAAGAGTTGGAAAGATGTTTGGCATGCCAAATTAATTTGCATATTTGCTTTAAAAGCAAAAACAAACTTGCGGTTTGAAGATAAACCATATCCGAACATGTATTTGTTGATTTTTGCAAAATAAAATTAGGTTTAATTATATAAATACAAATTAAAATCAAAAGGCAAATCATGTCTTATTATCATAATGGAAATTGTTTTGATCTCAGAGATCCATTGAAAAGATCTTGAGACGTCCCAGATCTGGTGGGCCACAATTTGAGAACCCATGTCGCCAAATAATTTTAACGTCATTTCTATTTCATATTATTAATAAAGTGAATTTTCTCTGATGCATATTTTGTTCTCATTCTCTCCGATCGTCTTTTGAGGACTGTTGCCTCAAGGTAGCCACGGACCCCTAGCCTAGCAGAACCCAGAATGAAAAGCCCAGGGCAGTCCAAGGGCCCAGGTCTGAGGGCTGAGAACTGAAAATGCCTCCCTGAATTCCCAGAAAAAGCCTGGTGTAAAACAAATCTAATCAGCCACCCGCGCGCCAAGGCGGGGCCAGATCTGCAGGCTGAAGGCCAGGCTGGCCCAGGGCTCAGGGCAGAAGATTCCGCGTCCGCGAGAGCGAAGAGGAGCTCCCAGGAGGCGCCTGCCAACTGCCTTCCCGCTGCAGGTAGGCGGGCCCCGGGAGGAGGAGCACTGGCAGTTACTTCCCCAGGTAGCTGCTGCCTCCCTTTCCCACTATCGGCTCGGCGGCCTCCCGGGATTCAGGCTGGAAGTCGGGTCGCGCCTGTCTCTGCGGCCCGGGCGCCCCTCCGCGAACCCCAGGCGCTTCCTTGGCCCGAGTGCAGGGACCGCCCTCCAGCCCTGCTGAGAGCAAGGTCCAGAGCATCTCGGATATTTGGGCGGCGCCAAGGTGGAGATTCCTGCGGCCACAGGCACTACCCTAGGACGAGGCACGGGCCAGGGAGGCACACGTTTCCATGGGGAAACATGTGCTCGGACCTGCAGGTGCGCGGCGGGAGGCTTGGCCCTGGTGGGGAATGGGTTACTCTCGGAGGCTACCTCCCCAAGTCAGGTCGATTTGAACGCGAGGCAGAGGGTCACTGGCGGTGAGGGGTGCCAGCTCAGCCCTCTTGCAGAGTCCTGCGGCGAGGCATTTGTCCCCAGGCACTCTTGGGGCCGCTTTCAGGGCGTGGATCCGATCCGGGTGACCGAAACTGCGAGCGGGGCACAGTTGTCCGGTGGCTTTGAGCACAACAGGTCCGTGAGTCAGTTCCTACAGAAACTCAAAGTACTGAGCCAGGGTCTTTTTTGACGAGTTTCTCTGTTTTTCTTTTTTTGTTTTAGTTTGTTTGATCGTTGCTGGACTATGCTTGCACTTATGATTCTACTTAGTCTACTGCCCATAGCTCCCTTCGCGTTCCCTCATTGCACGAGAAGTCCAGAGGTGTCTGGGCGCGCGGGGGAAGAAGGTAAGCACCGCTTCCCTTTCCCAGGAAACCGTCCTGGATTCCCAAGCCGCGTGTTACCGATCTCATCCTAGGAAGCATAATATTTGAACTTACATGCCCTCGTCAATAATAGGAGCATTAAAATGTTCTTTAGTTTAACCTGAGGCTTATTGGTTAAGTGCAATTTATACAAATTTACATCTGAGTTACTTTTGACTCAATATATATATTTAAGACTTGGTTTGTGGTTAACTTGAATGGAGTTTCTAAATTTCAGTTTCTAAAATCAGTGAGTGCCATTTTTTAAGATGTTGCTAGGTGGTAATTATAATTAGCATAATTACTTGTTCTTCCTGGGAAGAGGGAGAGAGAAGCCAAGATCTAGTCTGGACTTGTTGAGACCCTGGGCAAGTAACTTGAGGCCTTTCTGCTGGGATTTCTTTATCTGTAAAACAGTGCGAGTGAGGAGTGAATGATTTCTGAGGTCCTTCTTCATTTCCAAATCTCTGGATATAGTTCAATGGTTGTGAAATGAAGTTTGGGGCTTGCTAACCTAGAATTCCACACCTTGTGGGGTCCAGGTCATAAACGAACTGATTCCTGCCCATCTTTTAAGAGCCTAATGTAGAAAAGAAAAGAAGAAGGCTTGGTCTCTCAGCATCCTTCTCCATGGCGTTGTGCTTCCCTACCCAGTTACTAGTACTTTGAATATACTTCCCCACACATTCCGGTCCCTTATCCCTTCTCATCAGATTCTACTCTCAGCTCATTTTCAGGTAAGAAGGATCTGTTACACTAATACTCCTGGATGACTTATTAATCATTAATATAGCTTAGTGTGTTAAACCTTCTTAGGAGTGTGTGTGTATTTTAAGATAAGGCAATTACCTTAATCCAAAGCAATCAAACCCTGATGGCAGACTTCTAGGCTATTGGACGAGCTAGCCGGCGAGAAAAAGATTTTGGAAGGAGATCCTTCCCGAAACCTCCCAAGTTGTACCATGTATGTAAGTCCACTCAGGTATAAGGTTGATGGCCTATTCTCAGTGGGACCGAACACTGATGCCTAGAGTACTTGTGAATGTATTCATCCACACCATACAGACAAAAAGACACTCAGGAACATCACACATTCTGGAGGGAATTTAGAGATCATCCTTGAATGCAAAAGGCCGGGGGGTTGACATCTGTGGGAAATGTAAAAGAGCAATCCTCTGTATTTAAAAATCTGACTTGTTCGGTTAGTAACCACTTTATTTACAGACGCACTCTGCTCCAGGTACAGGAAATGTAGAGATGAAATACTGTTACCCTTGCCCTGATCAGGGAGGCAGGGTGTAAACAGAAAATCTCCATAAACTGTAAGAGACCCAGAGAGCAGAGAAAACAGTGAGTACCAGTAACTCTGTCTTAGGAGAGTTGTGTGGCACAGAAGCCAAGGCTCTCTGTCTGCAAACAGGATATAATAAATGGAGATATGAAAGGTAACTTGGAAAATAAGAGACCTCCAATGAAATTCTGATAAAGGCTACTGATCTAAAAGGAATTTATTTAGACGACATGGGGAAACAGGAGCGAGGAAGAGAATGAAATATTTGGGCTGGTGAGTCTGAAATGGTAGAACGCACAGAGAGCCTATGGTCCATGACAAGAGAAATAGGGAAGAGTAGAGAATCTGGGGGGCAGATGCAAAAGTACAAAGACCAGAGAGAAAATAGGATCTTTAACGGAAGTTCAGGATGCTCCATAGGCAAGAAGTTTAGTTCTTTCAGTCGTAAACATTTTCAGGGTTACTTAGAACCCAAATAACAAAGCACAGTGTTTCTCCTAAGATTGTAAGGGAGGGAGGGAAAAGTTTGGTAAGGCACTGAAGGTCCAAGGTCAACCACTGACCAACCTGGAACTTTCACACTCAAGGAAATGGCAAACAACAGCCTCTGGAAGGCATTTTTAATACAGGGGTGAGGGTGTTTACTGGCATTAATATCACTTCAGGAACAATACTAATATTTATGCCTCTCTCTTTTGTATTCCTTGCCAGTTGAAAGTAGCTTTACTGAGTGCCATTTGGAGGATGGGGTATTTTTATAACTCAGATAGCCTACTCGAATAGAAGACCCACAATGAGAAATACGGCACTGCTTTTTTAGCCAATAAAATGTAAAGATTTGGGCAAATGTCAGAAGTAGCAATACAGAAACAGATTTCTAGTTTTCCTTTCTGAAATTAGATTTCATGTAATAAATATAGGTAGGCAGGCGATAAATTACTGCATCACTGGTTTAGTATTTTAAACCTGTACCAAGCCAAGTAACACCAGACTATACCTATGAATTGCTTCAACTGATAGAATTCTGGTCCAAGAATTCTTTACACAATAGGAAAGCTGACTTCATTCATTCATGTAGTAAGTACTTTTTTGAACACCTCTTATATGTCAGGCACCAACATCCCTGCTTTAATGAAACTTTCCTTCTAGTGAGGGAAACAGAATGGTAACGAATAAGTTAAATAATAGAACACTAGGCAGTGATAAGTGCTATGGAGAAAAACAGAATATAATAGGGACTGGGGGGACCGGAGATGGATAGGTGGGGGTGGGGGTGGGGTTCAAGGGAACATTGAACAAAATCCTGAAGGAGGGAAGTGAACAAACTGAAAGAAGAAAGTTCTACTCAGAGGTAACAGCAAGTATGAATGAAGTCAGGGGAGAACCAGGCACGTGGGAAGACAGTGTGTTTTAACATTCCGTTTTTAATTAGCAGTTGTAGAGGGTGGATAACAAGGAGACCCCTTACAGGGCCATTGCAAGAATCCTAATGAGAGATGACAGAGACTTGGGAAAATGTTCATTCTTTCGCCATTTGGTGAAAACATAAAATCCTTAAGAAGACAAGGGAGCCCTGACCAGTGTGGCTCAGTTGGTTGGGTAGATCGCAACGCGAAATGTCACTGGATGGATTCCTGGTTAGGTCACATGTCTGGGTCCCAGTTCTGCCCCCAGTTGGGCAGGTAAGAAAAGCAACCAATCAATGTTTCCCTCCCTTTCTTTCTCTCTCCCTTACCCCCTCTCTCAAAATAAATAAATTTTTTTAAAGGCAGACAAGGAAGAAGAAAGAACAAATATTTCATCACACAGGTCTGCCTTTTGGAGTATTTCTTAAAACAACTGTCACCAGTGATCCCACTTTAACTTCCCACTGGTTCAAATGGTCCATGTATGTTATTCGTGACATTAAAATGAATACATTAGACTACTGCTGGCCAATACAAATATGTGAAACACAGAAATAATTTATAATTTTCCAATAGCCACATTAAAAAAAGGAAAAAAGAAAGAGGTGAAATTAAATTTAGTAATGTTTTTACTTTAACCCACTATATCCAAAATATCATTTCTAAATATAAGCAATATAAAATGTGAAGATGTCTCACAGTCTTTTGTAACTGGTTTTGAAACCCTGTGCATATGTGACACTTCCAGCACATCTCAATTCAGACTTAGCCACATTTGAAGTGCTCAGTAACCTCCGTAGCTACTGAGGCTCGTGGCTACTGTATTGCACAAAACAGCTAAGATTCAGACCTATTTGGAAAGGGGATTGATTGAAAGGTGAGGAAGGTGGACTGTCTTCAACAGGGGCTAAGAGTAAATGGCCTGCGTGGGGTCACTCACAAATCAGTTACTCATCTTCCAGCCATGCCCTCTCTCTTGTCTTTCAGTTGCCCACTTTAAAGTATTCTCTCTTTAATATTAGTGAGCAGTGAGAAATACCAACACTTTTCAATTTTCAGTGAGTTTTTGAATTCCAGTCTCAGTATTGTGATCTGTATGTAGCAAGATAACTTAAGCTTTGTTTTTTAAAATATATTTTATTAATTATGCCATTGCAGTTATTCTATTTCCCCCCTTCATTCCCCTCTACCCTGCACACCCCTCCCCCACCACTCCCCCCCTTTAGTTTATGACCACGTGTCTCAAGGTCTTTAGATTCTATATTTCCCATACTATTCTTGCCCTCCCCCCTATCTATTTTCTACCTACCATCTATGGTACTTATTTTCTGTACCTTCTCCCCCCTTCTCCTTCTCCCAATCCCCTGTTGCTAACCCTCCTTGAGATCTTCATTTCTCCTGTTCACTCCTGATCTAGCTGTCCTCTTAGTTTGCTTTTGTTTTAGGTGTGGTTCTTAATAACTGTGAGTTTGCTGTCCTTTCACTGTTCATCTTTTTTTATCTTCTTTTTCTTAGATAAGTCCCTTTAACATTTCATATAATAAGGACTTGGTGAAGATGAACTCCTTGAATTTGACCTTATCTGAGAAGCACTTTATCTGCCCTTCCATTCTAAACGAAAGCTTTGCTGGATAGAGCAATCTTGGATGTAGGTCTTTGGATTTCATGACTTGGAATACTTCTTTCCAGCCCCTTCTTGCCTGTAAGGTCTCTTTTGAGAAATCCGCTGACAGTCTGATGGGAACTCCTTTGTAGGTGACTGTCCCCTTATCTCTTGCTGCTTCTAGGATTCTCTCCTTCATTTTAATCTTGGCTAATGTACTTATGATGTGCTTTGGTGTGTTCCTCCTTGGGTCCACCTTCTTTGGGACTCTCTGAGCTTCCTGGATTTCCTGGAAGTCTATTTCCTTTGCCAGATTGGGGAAGTTCTCCTTTATTATTTGTTCAAATGAGTTTTCCACTTGCTCTTTCTCTTCCCCTTCTGGTACCCCTGTAATTCGGATGTTGGAACATTTAAAGATGTCCCGAAGGTTCCTATGTCTCTCCTCATTTTTTTGAATTCTTGTTTCTTCATATTTTCCTGTTTGGTCATTTTTTCCTTCCTTCTGGTCCACTCCTTTGATTTGAGTTCCAGTTTCCTTTCCATTACTATTGGTTTCCTGTGTATTTCCCTCCATTTCAATTAGCTTAGCCTTCATATGTTCCTCTAATTTGTGACAAAAATCAACCAGTTCTGTGAGCATCCTGATCACCAGTGTTTTGAACTAAGCACCTGAAAGTCTGGCTATTTTTCCATGGCTTAGATTTATCAGCTCTGGGGCTCTGAGTTGTTCTTGAGCCATGTTCTTATCTGTTTGTGCCTGTTACATACGAGGAGGTGTTCACCAGGGCAGGGCCACCCAGGTTGCTGGTTTGTGACGCTGTATGTGGGGGTGGGGTCACAGAGGGACAATGGCGGTCCCCTCTGCCGCTTCCCTCCACTGGAGCCTTTGCGTCTCACTGCTGGCTCTTTCACTGGTTTATCTGTGCGAGAGTGTGTGACCTCAATCAGCCCTCAGTGAGTCCACCGCCTTGCACCCTCAGTGGGTCTGCCCGCTACTCCACACCTGGGATCCGCCCACGGCTGCTGGTGCACCTGGGTCGCATGCCCAGGTCAGTCTGGTGGATCTTTTCTGCCCGACCCTGCTCTGCTGCTGGCTCTGCCCCTCTTACCTGTTTGTCTGAAGAGTTCGTTGTTGTCAGACTTCCGTGTAGTTCTATTTTCTGTGATTTGGCTGCGTTTTTGTTGCTAAAACTTTGTTGTTTTTAAACTTGGTTGTGTAAGAAGGTGCAGTGCTTCCACCTACTCCTCCATCCTGGCGGAAGTCAAGCTTTGTTTATATGACACCAGAATAAGTTTAAAGTTTGTGGGCTTTGGAAATGCTGCCGTGGTGGGACATCCTTGTTTTGTGTTAACCTCTGTGTAACTCTGTCTTGGTTACCATTTACTTTCCCAGAAAATATAGAGGTGGTCTTGCAAAACATGGTAGGTACATATTTAAGGGACGAGTCGGAGGAGCTATTCCTTTGGGAGGGTCCTTAATATCTTTTAATTAATTTTACAATTAATGTACAATTTTATTAATAGAAAATTTAAATCGTATAAGTTTTAGTATAAACTCTACATATTAACCAATGTCATTCAAAAAATTCATAATTTTAAAAAATTTATTAATCATTTGAAAGCATACATAGATTTTAGTGATTATTTAGTTCATGTCCTAATTGTATAAGTGAAGAAATGAAAGCCCAGAGATATAAGTGACTTATCCCAGGATACACAGCTGATAGCCTGAGCCAAGTTAAAAGCAAGAATTTCTGTCTTCTAATACTTGTTCCAATACTGTCCATACATCAGACTAATTTCACTCAGTCCAGAAAATAGGAAACCAACCCCCTAACAATAGAATAGTCTGACCTGTCATTTACTGAAAATATAATCTTCTGGAGGGAAAAGTAATATTTAAATAATTTTTATTTATGCTCATACTTTTAGACATAATCAACTCGAGAATTTTCTGGAGTTATGCTAGTATTTGTATTTCCTATTTAGCAGAAATTGTTTTTACTGATATTTCTTTTTATCAGATTTGAAAACCATACAAGAAAGTTTGGTGCAATTTAACCATATCAAGGGAACTATTCACTCTTTCCACAATTTAGACAGGAATTTTCTCCCTTATTCGTATTAGTGTTTGAAATCTGTCTATTTCTTTCTTAGTCTTTACATCAAAACAAGAAGCAAACTCTTTCATACGTAGACACCTGCTATCTAATAGATTTGATTTCGAGCTCTTCACTTCCGGCGACCTAGAAAGAGAGTGCTACGAAGAACTGTGTAATTATGAGGAAGCCAAAGAGATTTTTGTGGATGAAGATAAAACGGTAATTTGGGTGATGATGTTAATTGTCTGGAAATTTATTAACTAGTTCTTAAGAAAATGGCACTTTCATTTATTAGCGTTTTTCTGCTTTAAATGAAATCAGTATTCTATACATGTTATCTCTTTCTACTTCCTTAAAATGCTGATTAGCTTTAGATTTAAACTTGGCTTTGTACTTAATTAACTGGACTCATAATAATTAGCAAATTATCATTTGTGCTGTAATTTTGTGTGTTTAATGTTTATTATATTAAAAAAACAATCATGAAGCAGAGTTAATTAAACTTCAGGATATAATTTGAGTTAGTTCTCTGGCACAGACTTTAATCATTCAAAACTCAGAGCAATTTTTTCTGTCAGTGACCTATCCTGTTTCATTACTGTACTTTCATTTCAAGTATTGACAATCTACTGTGTGCCAAAGGCTCTCCTGGAGACTGGGGATACAAAACATATAGTCCTTGCACTCAGAAGTGTATTGTTTGGTATGTCTGTAATTTAAGGGAGAAGTTCTCCCTTAAAATATAATTAAATGCTATCTGTTAATCTTGAAAAGGACAAAACAGGGATAGCACTGTCCTTGTTATAATCTAGCATATTCTTGAAGAATGTTAAGCAACCCAAATTCTTTACTTTGGCAGATTAAATAGCCCCAGCTCCTTTTTCCCTTCCTCAACAGTTCTATTTTATTTTATTCTTTGGTCAATAAGAACCTCTCTAGGTAGCCTTCAAATGCAGGTATTAATGGAACTTAGTTCTTTTTCTTTTTTTCTCCCTAAATGGCGCCCAGGCTCCATGCTAATATCTGCCACCTGTAGTAGAGAAGGAAAACAGAGTCTACATTTTGTAAGGCTGACTGTGGAGATTTATTCTGTTTTTCGCAAACCCACTTTATAATTGTATCATGGCTCCTTAAAATCCACTTCCATTCTCAAGTAACACTGAACAGCCAAATCCATAAATACCTTTCAATACAAGCTAGCAAACTGAGGGCCCACCTAGCATAGAGAAATTCAGACTCCTTTTCAAAAACGAGTTTCCTGCCTCAGCTTCCATCTTTGGTACTTCACAGACTCTCCAATGCCAAGTTCCCCCTGAGGCCTTAACGGGAGCTCAGGGCAGTTGAGTGGAGAATAGCAGGGTACAGTAGTAGAGAAGATACACTGGAATTGGTCCTCCAACCCAGACCGATTCCAGAGTTGGGAGAAATAGTGGTGCATGGCAGTGCTTTACTTAGAGTGAGTCATACCCTTTAACTTGAATAACTGGTATCCTACCTGTGGCACATGCAAAAATTTACCACCTCTAGTTTAGGTCATTGGGAGCAAATGAAATGATAATAAAGAAATTAAATAAACTTCTAAAATCTGCTTGTCTCTTAGATGGCATTTTGGCAGGAATATTCGATTAAACAACCAACCACAAAATCAGGTAAGATGAGAATTGATTAAATAATGTTTTTCCCACACCCTCTCTTTTATAATACATTTCAGTTTCATTGTTTGAGTTTGGTTGTTGCTCAACATACTTGTAAATCCAAGGAAGATTTCTCAATTACACACTGGGCTATCTAAGATGGAGAAGGTCACATTCATGTATTTGTACACTGAAAATCAAGTTTGGTGAGATACTGGAGGAATGAGATAATAGGCTTAAAAATGCTTTAAACAGCTCAGCTAAGTCAAGACTTGCACAGAATATAAGTAGTGCTCCTTTGGTTTCAAGTAGTAAGCTATTGTAATTTTTTTGTCTTTGTAAGTCCATTACAAGTTAATGGAATATGTATGCTACTGGGTAAGTTAAGATTGTTAGCTAGAATGAAGTGACTTCTAGATCCTGTCTTTTATCTATATTGATCATCTCTAGCTGACTTTTAGGTGAGTTTTTTTGCTATTATTTTATTTCACCTAGGTAAGGTCCCAGCTTACAGGGAGACTGTATTTCATATATCCACCAGAGTTGCTCAATCAATACATTTATCTTAGTAGTTAATATCAAAGTGTTATCTAGTGGAACAGAGTTTGTGTTTATTCTACTTAGTCTTTTTTAAAGTATATTTTATTGCTTATACTATTAACGGTTTTCCCAATTTTTCTCCCTTTACCCCCCCCATCCTGCACCTCTCAACCCTCCACCATCACCCCCCTTACTTCATGTCCACGGGTCGTACATATAAGTTCTTTGAGTCCTCTGTTTCCCATACCATTTTCGACCTCTCCCTGTCTACTTTATGCCTACCAATTATGCTTCTTCTTCCCTATGCCTTTTCCTTCATTCCTCCCCTCCTGCTCCACACCGAAAACCTTCCATGTGATGTCCATTTCTCTGATTCTGTTCTTGTTCTACTTGTTTACTTAGTTTTTGTTTTCATTGTTTTTCTTTTTTTAGGTTCATTTCTTGATAGTTGTGAATTTGTTGTCATTTTACTGTTCATAGTTTTTTATCTTCTTCAAGTCCTTAGATAAGTCCCTTTAACATTTCATATAATAAGGGATTGGTGATGATGAACTCCTATAACTTGACCTTATCCAAGAAGCACTTTTCTGCTCTTCCATTCTAAATGATAGCTTTGCTGGATAGAGTAATCTTGGATGTAGGTCCTTACCTTTCATGACTTCAAATACTTCTTTCCAGCCCCTTCTTGCCTGTAAGGTTTCTTTGAGAAATAAGCTGTCTTATGGGCACTCCTTTGTACATAACTGTCTCCTTTTCTCTTGCTGCTTTTGAGGTTCTCTCCTTATCTTTAATTTGGGTAATGTAATGATGATGTGCCTCATTGTGTGCTTCCTTAGGTCCAAGTTCTTTGGGACTCTCTGAGCCTCCTGGACTTCCTGGAAGTCTGTTCCCTTCATGAGTCTGGGGAAGCCCTCCTTCATTATGTTTTCCAATAAGTTTTCAATTTCTTGCTCTTCCTCTTCTCCTTCTGGCACCCCTATGATTTGGATGTTGGAACATTTAACATTGTCCCAGAGGTTCCTAAGCCTCTCCTCATTTTTTGAATTCTTGTTTCTTTTGTTCTGGTTGAATGGTTATTTCTTCCTTCTGTTCCAAACCATCGATTTGAGTCCCGGTTTCCTTCCCTTCACTGTTGGCTCCCTGTACATTTTCCTTTATTTCACTTTTCATAGCCTTCACTTTTTCCTCTATTTTGCAACCCTATTCAACCATTTCTGTGAGCATTTTGATAACCAGGGCTTTAAATTCTCCATCGGATAGGTTGGCTGTCTCCTCATTGCTTAGCTCTCTTAATGAAGTTTTGCTCTGTTCCTTTTTTTGAGCCCTATTTCTTTGTCTCAGGGCACCTGTTAAGGTATAAGGGGTTGGGGACTTAGGTATTCAGCAGAGCAGGGCAACCCTCCTTGGTGCCCTGGCGAGCTGCCTGTGGGGGAGGAGCCAAAGAGGGAACAGTGCAGCTCACCTGCTGGGCTCTAGCCCCATTTTCCAGCAAACCCTCGTATGAGACTGGGAGCTTTTCCCACTGCAGCAACCCCTGCTGTAGTCCACACTGAGTCTCGGTTTCCCATTTAATCAGCCCCACCCTCACAGTCGCCTCCTCACTACAGCCAGCCCCGCCCGCATGGTCAGCTGCCTTGCCCTCATGGTCCACAGGCTTGTCCCAGGTTCTGTCTGTCTGCCTGTCTCACCAGACTGGTTGTTCTGGTTGACTGTTTCTTTAATTCCTTGGTTGTTGGAGTTCCATGCGGTTTGATTTCCTGGCACTTCTGGTTATTTATTGATTTTAGATTGGTTGTTATCCTCTTTTTGGTTGTGCAAGGAAGTGAAAGGTTTCTACCTATGCCTCCATCTAGGCAGGAACTCTCTACTTATTCTCCATTCTCCATTTAATATGACCTATTTAAAAGAAATGAAACCGCTCTGGCTGGTGTAGCTAAGTGGATTGAGCATGGGCCTGTGAACCAGAGGATTGCAGTTTGATTCCCAGTCAGGGCACATGCCTTGGTTGCAGACCAGTTCCCAGCAGGGGACACATGAGAGGCAACCATACATTGATATTTCTCTACCTCTCTTTTCCCTTCCCCTCTAAAGATAAATAAATAAAATCTTTAAAATAAAAAATTGCAAATATACATTTTTAAAAAATAAAACCATAAATAGGGATTTTAGGAAGTGTCATTTAAAAATTCTTTAGATCATATGTCTAGCATAAAGACTTTTTAATTAATCAATAACAAGCCCAGCTGACATGGCTCAGTTGGTTGGAGCTTTGTTCTGTGCACCAACAGGTTGCCATGCTATTCTGCTCAGGGCACATGCCTGGGTTCTGGGTTTGGTCCCCAGGGCATGTGCTGGAAGTAGCTGACCAGTGTTTCTCTGTCTGTCTGTCTGTCTGTTTCTGGAATAAACAAATACATTTTAAAAATAAAATAAAATAAGCCCTGGCCTATATGGCTGAGTTGGTTGACATGTTATCTCACAGCTGAAAGGTTGCAGGTTCAATTCGCAATTGGGGCACATGCCTAAGTTGCAGGTTCCATCCCTGGTACAGCGTGTACAACCCTGTGTCTGCACATGTAAGATTCTGGGTCCAGCCGGATCCCTGGTCTGGGTGCGTGTGGAGGCAGCTAGTGGATGCTTCTCTCTCACATCAATGTGTCTCTCTTCCACTCTCCCTTCCTCTCTCTGTCTTTAAAAAAAGAAGAAGAAAAAAGCAAATGAAAACAATTTCCTTGGGTGAGGATAAAAAATAAATAAAATAAAATAAATCAGTATTAATTATTCAGTGCTTAATACTGTGCTTAGACTCAGGGTTAAAGTTATTGAAATCACAGGTGGTGCTTTTCAGTTGTTATATTTATGTTATTTTAATGATTTTTCTTAAGGTGGTAACAGTAAGAAAGTTGACGTTATGGGCCTTCTGACTGGACTAATTGCTGCTGGAGTATTTTTGGTTATTCTAGGAATACTTGGTTACCATCTTTTTATCACTAAGTGTAGCAGACAACAACATCCAGGGTAAGTACCAAGTGAAAATAATTAACTCACTATTACACATTCTGTACTGTTATCTTTTAAGTGGATTAAAACTGTGAGAAAAGGGGGGGGCGGAGAGAGAGAAACATTCATTTGTTGTTCCACTTCCTTATGCGTTTATCGGTTGCCTCTTGTATGGGCCCTGACCGGAGATCAAAACCCCCTCGTTGTACTGGGGCAACACTCCAACCAACCAAGCACTTAGCCAGGGCCTCCGTATTTCCTTCTTGGGCAGCAGGCAGAGAGCAGTGTCCCCACATTATTTCCAGAGGGAAAAAGTCCCATAGTCTATTCTGAGTCACAGCAGTATCAGATCTAGCCATGTGGCTATCCAAATATTAATCAGCTCTTAAATTCAATCACTTTTACTGATACTTTAAATTAAATAAAAATTAATAAAATAAAATGATTATGCCTGGCTGGTGTGGTTCAATGGACTGAATGGCAGCCTGTGAACCAAAAGGTCGCAGGTTCCATTCTGAGTTTAGGACACATGCCTGGGTTGCGGGCCAGTAGGGGCCATGCAAGAGGCAACCACACACTGAGGTTCCTCTCTGTTTCTTTCTTCCTCCCTTCCCTTCTCTAAAAATAAATAAATAAAATCTTTTAAGAAAGAAAACACAATGTAAAAAAAAGTAACAATGACCATTGAGGATAATAGCTTAATAAATCTTTATAAACATAAAACTATAATTGTTTGCATAGTAGAACTTCAATATACTTATAGGAATAAGAAGTTACTCTCTTCTATGTTCTCTATATTATCTTTTCAGTAAATACAGATGAGTAAGTGTAGAATAATGTTACTCAAAAAAGGCACCAGATGCTAAACAGGCTGTTCAAAATTGGTGCTCATATTCCCCTATTCACACTTTCAAATTAAGTGGAAAAAATGCATGACGCGACCAGGTGGTGAAAAGGTTATGGGTATAGATAATTGTGATGGTCCCACAACATTGTGAGTATAATTAATACCACTGAGCTCCACATGGAAAAATGATTAAATAGCAAATTTCAAATTACATATAATTTGCCACAATAAATTTTTTTTCTTTACTGTTTTAAGGTAAGAGTTTAGGGCAACAGATATAGAATTAGGATTCATCTGTTGGAGGATAATAGCTGAAACCATGAGAGTAGGCAAGATCTGAGTGAGATGAAAGAACAGAAGGCTCGTCCTGGCTGGTGTGACTCCGTGGACTGAGTGCTCCCAGCCAACTGAAGGGTGGCTGCTCTGACTCCCAGTCAGGGCGCATGCCTAGGTTGCAGGCCAGGTCCCCAGTAGGGGGCGCGAGAGGCAACCACACATTGATGTTTCTCTCCCTTTCTTTCTCCCCTGCCCTCAGTAAGAAATAAATAAATGAAATCTTTTTTTAAAAAAGATGAGTTATACTTAATGTTACTATAGTATACTGCTGTACAGCTTACAGATCATTTTTACATCTTTTATCTCCGTTTGATCTTCACAGCAACCCTTTGAGTTTTAGGAGATGCTTCGAACTAGGACCACCAAATATTTTCCTATGTTGGGATTAACTTTCAAATACTAAAGTACATTTGAGTTACTTGTTTTCTTTCTGTATTTTTCAAGTCTGGAAATGGAGGAAGGGTGAGGAAATATTTGAGAAATAAAAGCGAAAAATAAAATCATTGTCAGAAAACTGTTTCATTCCTCTGTAAAAATATACCAAGAAATGGGAAACAACATCTTTTCATTTCTTAGTTTCCTTATTTTATGAAGTAAAATAGGTGTACTATGATGTCCATTTATTTGAGATGTTATTGGTGCATACTTTCTGATTTCAGTCATTTAAGTTGTGTGTAAGAAATAGCTATGTAAATATTTAATGGCTTTGATGCAATTATTGCATTGTTTCTATAGCTGAAGTTTGAAAGTCGACATAGAAAAATTTATTTGTTCAAATAAAAGATCTTTCTCTCCTATTCCTTATAAGCAAACAAACAGAACTTTTCGCCACAAGCTAATGAATGGGGCAAGTGACTAGCCTACCATGAAAACACTCCAGCTTTCTGACAGAGGAGGACTCGTCTGCGTTGAGCCCTCTAAGTAAACTTGTAATGCTTTCAGTCACCTCTCAACTACTGAAGGGCTGATTATCCATTTCCTAGGTTTACACAGATCTTTTCCCTTTCTTCTCTCCTTCCCTCCAACTTTCGACCTCATTATTACCTCCAAAGGAAGGGGTGTTTCAAGGTGCAAATTGACTGCCTTTGTAAAAGTTTACAGAATTTTGTAAATTGTAAATATTGACTAGAGGATGGGGATTACCTATGAATTTTACTTATCTTGTTAGCCATAACTATAGGAAGTAAATTCATGCATGCATATATCATAGACAGCCAGCTTCACAGTTTAAACTGATCAATATACTAATGTTTAAACTATCCTTTGCAAGTAGTTTGCAAGTGAGCAGGGAAAAACATAGGTTCAAAACATCAGACCCATGTTGCATTTCAATTTTCATTGGCTGGTGTAGCCGACAAAGTTTGTGAAAATGGTGGAACTAGAACTAGGCAATGTTAAAAAAAAAAATTGTTGGAGCCTGGCTGGTGTGGCTCAGTGGATTGAGCGCTGATCCGTGAACCAAAGGGTAGCCAGTTCGATTTCCAGTCAGGGCACCTGCCTAGGTTGCAGGCCAGGGTCCCAGTTGGGGAGGTATGAGAGGCAACCACACATGGATGTTTCTCTCCCTCTCTTTCTGCCTTCCTTCCCTTCTCTCTAAAAATAAATAAATAAAATCTTTAAAAAATAATTTTTGGGCTCCAATCAATGGAGTAGGGAAAAAATCTGAGAAAGGAAACCATTCCAGTGGAAGCAGAGATGGGACAGAATTTATTGCACTTACTGGGGAGTGTTAAAGAGGCTACCTTAGCAAGAGCAGAGAGCTATAAAAAAATAAGATGAGGCCGGAAAAGGAGGCCCAGTTTTTGGAACTCAAGTCAGTGGAAAGAAGGCTGCTGGTTACTTTTGCAGAGAGGAGTGATGTGATGGAAGACTTTTTAGGAGGGATTTGCCCACCAGGCCATGGGGCAGGAGAGGAGGACCAGAGAAAGGGACAGACATCAGCTGTCGTGATCATCTGTGGCATCAGTTTCCTTGGCTTGGTGTTGTGCTGCCTTTCAACACAGCCTGGGTTTTTGGTTTCAAAGCATATTTTGAGAAAGTTTTCATCCAGGAGTGAGAGAAAGGGGGAAGTAGCATGTTTTTGAGTTCTTATTATAGAAGTAGCTATTATTATCTCCAGTTTACAGAGGAGCAAACTGAGTTAGGTGACTTGCCTTTGGTCACATAGTTAAGAAAGGACAGGATCCGGTTTCATATTCATGTCTGACTTGAAAGCTCTTGATCTATCCCCTATAGCAAGACTCTTCCTGCTCTTAGAAACTTAGAAAATGGTTATATTAGTAAATCGAGTTCAACTTTTATAAAAACATTCAACTGGATTTTTAATTTATTTTATTTATTTATCTTTAGAGGGGAAGGGAAGGAGAGAGGGAAATATCAATGTATGGTTGCTTCTCACATGGCCTCCACTAGGGACCTGGCCTGCAACCCAGGCATGTGCCCTGACCAGGAATCAAACCACAATCCTTTGGTTCACAGGCCCGCGCTCAATCCACTGAGCTACACCAGCCAGGGCTGGATTTTTAAATATTGCCATCTTAACCTACTAGTGCTGCCTTCTCTAGACCTAACTGCTGTCTCTCTGTTTAGTTCCTCAAGGGGCAGGCAGACTCCCTCCATCATTTTCAGAAGACCTGAGGAGGCTGCCTTGTCTCCATCACCGCCTTCAGTGGAGGACACAGGATTACCTTCTTATGAACAGGCGATGGCACTAACCAGAAAACACAATGTTTCACCGCCACCACCATATCCTGGACCAGCAAAAGGCTTTAGGGTATTTAAAAAGTCTATGTCGCTCCCATCTCACTAAACCCACCTTGCCATCCTGGTGGTCCAGGAGATTCATGTTATTTGAATGGTTCATTTTCCCTGAACCATACAGACATGTCAGTTCAGCCCTTTATGACAAACTGCAAGAAGTAAAGGAGGAATAAGCACAAGCACTACACCACAGAAGTTCTGTCAGTAATCTTGGACTTGAACTTGTCCATGATCAGCTTGGTAAGAAAATTGGACTCCATATCCTTGTAGTTAAGAGTGAGCACTTTTTTTTTGTTTATTTTCATTGTTCCTCCAAAATTTGTACTATGGATGTCATAGCTATAACTGATGAAATAGCTGTATCCTTTGTGCAGATAAAGGTTGCAGATTTTTTGTGTTGAATATTAAAAAAGTAAGAATTCCTAATCATTAGATTATCCCAAGTTGTAACATTGGGCCTACACTTTATTAGAATTCCTGATTGGTGGCAAATACTTCACAGAATTTGCCATTTCATTATAAATTTGTGGTCTTAATATAATGGCTTTGTTTTATATTTTAAATTATTGTACAGCATTCACTATGTTTTGCAGGTTTTAAACAACTCTGTTTAAGAGTTGTTAACTCTTACTATCAGTCATGTTTCTTTATGAGGAGTGGGATCACTAATTTTCTTTAAAAAAAAAAACACTTGCTGCCCTGGCTGGTGTAGCTCAGTGGATTGAGCGGGGGCCTGCGAACCAGACAATTGCGGTTCGATTCCCAGTCAGGGCACATGCCTGGGTTGCAGGCTGGTTCCCTGCAGGCCAGTTCCCAGCAGGGGACACACAAAAAGCAACCATACATTGATGTTTCTCTCCCTCTCTCCTTCCCTTCCCCTCTAAGGATAAATAAATAAAATCTTTAAAAAAAAAAAAAACACTTGCTGGAGAGTTAGATCTTCGGAAGATTGCAATGGCAAGGATTTGCAAGAGTGGTTATACTAACAAATAAATAGGCCTCAAATCTAGGAGTGACTAGGACTTGATAAAGTTATCCATATATTACTGATGAGTAGACACACCTACTTCATTATTAAATTAGCTCTATATAACTATACCTACATATAATTTTTTATCTTGAAACAATGTTGAATTTTCTATACAACTGCTTGAGAAATTAGAAAAAAGTAATCTATTTTTCTGCTTTTAAAATAATATTGACTAAAGTTACAAGCAATCCCTCGTATCTCATCATGTCTGGACACAAAAAACTGGAGATAACCATTTTACCTTATAGTTTGTCTCTTCTTCTAATTGTATATGTGACCAGCCTCTATGAATGTAGCAGAGAATAAGCTATAAACCTCTGGAGTGAGTGTCTGTGTACCAATTTATGTGGGTGGGTGGGTATGTATGTATGTGTGAATTCACTTCCTCTGTGCAGGAGCTGAAGAAACACAACTGTTACATTTAATAATGAGATCCAGAATCAAGAAAGAGAGAGACAGAGAGACACAGAGAGAGAGGGAAATATACTTCTGAGAAATAGAATAGAAAATTCTGTTCTTTGTTTTTACCAGGCATTGCACTTTTCTATTTTTTAAGGTCATTTGTAAGATTATATTTTATTTTATAATTTTTACAGAGGTGAGACTAAAACCCACATGCATTTGATAATTCCTTCCAAATTAAATGTTTCGAAAGTATAAGTCATGGTAGTGTATGTACGTATCTCTCCTTTAAGACAGTGTGATCTTAAGGCAGATAAAAGCAGTATCCTAACCATTACATGCTGCCCATGACATCCTTTTAGATTCTTGTGTTTCTTTGCTTGTTGCAAAGAAATCATCTAGAAGACACTTACATTACCTATAAAAATTTTAACTATTAGTCATACCTTGGCTTTACATAAGCATTTTTTCTCATGTAACGTTGCACCTTGCACTTTGCACTTGCTTTAATCCTCTATAAAAGGTCAGAAGCAAACTCACTTTGCTCACGTTCTAACAATCAGACTAAGGTATAGAAGGATAACTTGCCCAAATTCTAACTCGTTGTTGGGAACTAGGTTTAGAATGAGCAAGCACACTTTTCTAGGCCCATCTTTAGCCTATAGATTAGACTGTCTCAAATTATGAAATCCAGGGATATTACTACTTAATTCTAAATCTGCATGAACAACTTATAAATATTTGTCATATATAAATGTACATAGGTACATATATTTTATATATATAGGTATTGTCACACATATATATTTCTTAGGATGACTAGAAATATAAGATATGATATATCTTATTGAGTCATAATTTGAAATATTCTATGAACTTGATTCCTCCCATTGATTCACAAGAGTCTAACTGCAAAGCTCGCTTCAGCACCTGTGACGACCTCTTTCCCCTGGGAACAGCCTGCAGGTGTCACATGCCATCATTCAGTTGTAACTTAAATGAACGAACCTAGAATTCATCATTCAGATTGTGGAACAACTGATGTTTGTAGAGCATTCAATGTTAATTTCCTAATACTTTAAATATTAAAAAAATGTGATAGAACGATAATCAACAAATGCTTATAAATGATTGAAAGGAAAATATCTCCGTGTAAAATTATTGACACATATATCTGTCTCATCCACCCTTTTCTATTCCTGTTATATTTTCAGTGGTGGATTTTTTTGTTTGATCCGTTCTGTTTATGCTTCTTCCCCAGGCAGCTGATTAGTGTTAACCATTAAATCTCTTTTGAAAAAAAGTTTTATGTTTAATTAGATGAGTTTCCCTCTCTATTACAATCAGGCCATAAATAGAATAGGTGTATAAAAAGGAAATTGGACTAGAAAAAGAGAAATATACATTTGTAAGGTTATACCTTCAGTAAGATAGATAATTCTACATAGAATATTCTCTTTTCAAAATGAAAAAAATTAAGGAGAGCACAAAATCTGACTATGTGAAAGTTTTACATCTTTTAATAATATTTCCTCTGCATAAAAACAGAGTGCATAAAAACTCTCAGAACCATGAAAAATTAGAACAAAAGTGTCCTCTATGTCTTTGGTTTCCCCTTTACCTGTAAAATTCTAATCAGTTTTTTTTTTCTATTTATCAGATAATTTATGTGTGTGTATACTTTTCCTATAGGTACAAGAGAATTTTTAATGAGAAAAGGTTTGTTAGTTTTGTTCAAAAGATCAATTGTTTTTGTTCTAATTGAATGTGAATTAAATTTTATTAGTTATTAATTTGATTTGAAATGTTGCCTAAGGTTTTATACTATTAAAAGGGTATCTAGAATTTCTGCATTTTTTTGTCTGAATCTTTTTGTAGATTCCCAATATGGCATTGTGGAACATGTATGACATATTGATGCCTTTAATCTTCTATATTGTGTGTTTCCTCCAACTTATTTTGTTGTTTAAAAATGTTTTCCTAACATGTTAAGAGCTTAAGGCAGTCATGTGCAAATATATCAGTATTTTCATACTCTGGAAAAAAACCCCATTTTTAAAAATGCATATATTTCCTACAGCCTTGATTATATTTTGGTTTTAATGAATTTCCTACTACAGACACTTTTTATACATGTAAATAAACTTCATACTAAGTAAATATTTGTTGCTCATTTCAATTAAACATACCTTTTCCCCACATAGTGCCATATAGCTATATAAATTAAATGTGAAAAACACAGTGCGTGTTTTCAAAACAACATTTACAGCAGGGTGTTTCTCTGTATATATTTCACCCGGTGGGGCTAGTATTCTTTATATTAAACCATCTGATTGCAGTAGTGAATGTACTATTCTCTTTAACACAGTTTTACTATTTAATTTATTGTTTGAGGCAAGTTTATAATATATTATTCCTTAAAACTGAATTTAATTATGTGACCAATGTCTATATATAATTAAAAAAATCAGAAGATAATAGAGTAATGGTACACTAAATTAAAGGAATTGCTTAAGAGAAACACATTAAGTAATATTAAGTGTCATACACGTAGATAAACTCTGATTGTTGTTAAATATTACTTTGTGTTACCACATTTAGATTACCTTAAGTTTTTTAGATCCAATTGATCTATGCATGTAAAATAACTTCAATCAAGGGAATGAGAAAACAAGCTAGTGAGTAGGAGAAAATATTTGCAGAAGACATCTAACAAAGGACTGTTACCCAAATTATTCAAAGAACTCTTAAAACTCAGCAATAAGTTTTAACCCAATATTAAAAATGGGCAAAAGATCTGAGCAGACACCTCACCAAAGAAGATATGTAGATGGTAAGTAGGCATATGAAAAGATGTTCATAATCATGTCATTAGAGAATTGCAAATGAAACCACAAAGAGATGCCACTGCGCACCTCTTCAAATGGCCAAAATCTGAAACACTGACAACATTAAATGTTGATAAGGACGTACAGCAACAGAAGCTCTCATTTATTACCATTTGGAATGCAAATGGTACAGTCACTTTGGAAGACAATTTGGCAATTTCTTACAAAACTAAATATACTCTTCCCTCTCTGACCAGCGTGGCTCAGTTGGTTGGGTGTTCCCACAAAGCAAAAGGTTGCCAGTTCGATTCCTAGTCAGGGCACATGCCTGGGTTTCAGGTTCAGTCCCCACTTGGGGCACATACAAGAGGCAACCAATGTTTCTCACCCTCTCTTTCTCCCTCTCTTCCCTTCTCTCTAAAAATAAATAAATCTTAAAAAAAAAAAAAGGAAATGAGCTCTCAAGTCATGAAAAGACATGATGGAAAAAATGCATATTACTAAGTGAAAGAAGCCAATCTGAAAAGGCTATGTACTGTATGATTCCAATTATATGACATTCTGGAAAAGGCAAAACTGGAGACACTGAAAAGATCAATGATTGTCAGAGATTGCGGGGGCAGGGAAGGGCTGAAAAGATGGAGCACTGACTTCTAGGGCAGTGAAACTACTCTGTATGATACCGTAATAATGTCACATTTGTCCTGACCCACAGACTATATAGCACCAAGAGTGAACCCTAATGTAATCTACGGACTTAGGGTGACAGTGGTGTGTCAATGTAGGTTCGCCGTAACAAACGTACCACTCTGGTGGGGGATGGGGATGTTCATCTGTGCAAACAGGGGTATCGTGGGAACTCTGTACTTTCCACTCTTCTGTTCTGAACCTAAAACCACTCTAAAAAGTTACGTTTATTTTAAAAATTACTTTTAAGGCAAAAAAAAAAAAGATTTCTTTCTTTTAAGAGAGAGGGAAAAGGAGGGAAAAAGAGAAATATCGGCTGAGAATGCACCTCGAGCCAGGAATGTACCTGCAACTCAGACACGAGCCAGGAATGTACCTGCAACTCAGACACGTGTCCTGACTGGTAATTGAACTGGTGACATTTTCCTTTGCTGGACGCTGTCTGACCAACTGAGCCACACTGATCAGAACAGCAAAATGTTTTCTTAGGACCAATTGAAAGTTTTAAAACTGCTTCTTTATGTGCTACTAAAGAGTAGGGAAAAAAGAATTGTTTTAGTAATAATTTTTAAAAGATTTTATTTATGGCCCTGGCTGGCGTAGCTCAGTGGATTGAGCGCGGGCTGTGAACCAAAGGGCTGGCTGTTTCGGTTCCCAGTCAGGGTACATGCCTGGGTTGCAGGCCAGGTCCCCAGTGGGGGCCACATGAGAGGCAACCTCACACTCTTTCTCCTTCCCTTCCCATCTTTCTAAAAATAAATAAAATCTTTTTTAAAAGATTTTTTATGTATTTATTTTTTAGAGAGAGAGGAGAGAGGAAGAGAAACATAATGTGTAAGAGAAACAGCAGGTGGTTGCCTCTCTCACACCCCCAGCTGGGGACCTGGCCCAGGACCCAGGCATGGGCCCTGACTGATAATCAAACTGGCAACATTTAGGTCCACAGGCCAGTGCTCAATCCACTGAACCACACCAGCCAGGGCTGTATTAGTAATAACATTGATGTAATATTTTACTAGGTAAAGTCTATACATTAAAATTTCAAGTGTTTCAAAAATATAGCTTAGATTTATATTACAGTGACAAAATAGTGAAAGAGACACAGACAACAAACTTTTAAAAGCTAGGTGGATAGCCACACTTCATCTAAAAATTGAACCTGTTCCCACAACAGCTTAGTAATATGCTTCCAACAGAGACACAAGTCAAAAAGGAGAACTTTGAGAACTAGAACCATGAAGACTGGGAAGGTGGGGGTGATTAGAAAGACCCTTACAAAGTCAGTGCAGTATTGTCTGAAGTCCACTGCTGACTTGAAGCATGTTTTTCTCATGCAGGGACCAGAAAAAACGATGCAGAGGTCACTGGTAAACATATTAGGAAGCGGAGTCTGAAAGGTCTAGTTGAAAGTCACAAAACCTTGCCTCAAACTGGCCTACAAAACTGGGAAATTGGGTTGGAGCAGTCTGAGTGTTGGTATATATTTTCATTTATTGGTCATAGTATTCAAAGCCTTTACTGATTGATTGATTTGAGGAAAAAGAGGGAGAGAAACGTCAAGTTGTCTTTCCACTTACTTATGCATTCATTGGTTGATTCTCATATGACTGGAGATCAAACCTGCAACCTTGGCACACTGGGACAACACTCCAACCAATTGAGCTACCCAGCTGGAGCCAAAGGTTCCTTTCAATATGGAACTTCTAGAATCTCCCCAGTTCTAGAAAATTTAATTGGATAATTATTTGCTGTTTTCTTCTCCTTTGTTTTCTCCATTTTTTTTGGTGTGATGCCTAATGGTTGAATATTGGACTTTGTAGACTGATGCCCTATTTTTTTAAGATCTTCTTTTATTATTATTTATTTATTTACTTATTTATTTATTTATTTACTTTTAGAGAGAGGGGAAGGGAGGGAGAAGAACATCAATGTGCAAGGGACATATCTATTGGTTGTCTCACAGCCCCCCACATAGGGGACCTGGCCCACAACCCAGGCATGTGCCCTGACCAGGAAGCAAATTGGCGACATTTCAGTCTGCTGGACAATGAACCAACCCACTAAGCCATACCAGTCAAGGCTGATTTTTTTACATTTATAACAACTTCATTGGTGTACAAATTACATGGCATAAAATGAAGCCACCTTCAGTGAGCAGCTCCATGAGGGTTTTAAAAAATATTTTATTTATTTATTTTTAGAGAGAGAGGAAGGGAGGGAGAAAGAGAAGGAGAGAAACATCAATGTGTGGTTGCCTCTCACGTGGCCCCCACTGAAGGACTTGGCCTGCAACCCAGGCATGTGCCCTGACTGGGAATTGAACCAGCGACCCTTTAGTTCACAGCCCGCGCTCAATCCACTGAGCTACACCATCCAGGGCAGCTCCATGAGTTTTAACAACTGTAGATCATGTAACAATCATCCCAACTGTAGAAAGTTCCCATCTGTCTCTTTCCTGTCAGTTTCTGACTCCAACCTCAGGCTACCATTGATCTACTTTTCATTACTATACACTAGCTTTGCATATACTAGGATTTCATATAAAGCAAATCATATGATATGTACTCTTTAGTCTGGTTTCTTTCACTCAGTAGCATATTGTCATATATGTCAATAGTTTGTTTCTATTTAAGGCTGGATCGTATTTTATTGTATTGATATTCCATGATTTTTTGTCTATTTACCTATTGATAAGTCTTTGAAAATAAAAGCATATGAACATTTATATTAAAGTCTTTTTGGACACATATTTTCAGTTCTTTTGGGTAAACACCTAGGAGTGGAACTGTTGGTAATAGCTGAGTGTATACTTAAATTTACAAGAAACTACTCAATTGTTTTTCAAAGTGATTAAGCCATTTTACACTCCCAAGATTGTATGAAGTTTCCAGTGGCTGCACATCCCTGCCAATGCTTGCTGTCACAAGTCTTTTCATTTTAATTGACTCTGGTGGGTGCATAGTGGTATCTCACTGTGCATTTCCTTCATGACTGATGGTATTGGGTATCTTTCTATATGTTTATTAGCCATTCATGTATTTTCTTTTATCAAATGTTTATTCAAATATGTGGCCATTTTTTATTAGTTTGCTTATCTTTTTACTTTTGAGTTAGAAATATTCTTTTAAAAATTATTTTTTTATTTATTTAGAGAGGGGAAGGGAGGGAGAGAAACATCAATGTGTGGTTGCCTCTCACACGGCCCACACTGGGGACCCGGCCTGCAAACCAGACACATGCCCTGACTGGGAATCAAACTGGCAACCCTTTGGTTCACAGCCTGAGCTCAATCCACTGAGCTACACCAACCAGGGCAGAAACATTCTTTATATATTCGGGGTATAAGTTGTTTGTCCGATGTTTGGTAGATATTTTCTCCTAGGTCATGTTTTGCCCTTTCATTTTTTTTTAACAGTGTTTTTCAAAGAGCAGAAGTTCTCTACATTTTGATTGAGTCTAGTTTATAAGCTTTTCTCTTCTGATCATTTTTTGTATGTGTGTCCTGCCAGGAAATCATTGTCTTCCTCAAATTGTTAAGACTTCCTTCTATCTTTTCTTCTAGACACTTTATAGTTTTGTCTTTTACATGGAAGTCTATTTTTTGTGCATATATATGAAGTTAGTATCAAGGTTAACTTTCCCCCATTCAACCATGCAGTTGTTTTAGCAAGGTTTGTTTACAGATCTTTCCTTTATCCACCAAATTGTCTGAATTCTCTTGGAGCCTCTGTTGTAAATCAATTGATCATATATATTTGGGGCTTTCTGTTCTGTTCCATTGACCTGTCTGTTTTTATGTCAATAGTATGTTTTGCTCACTGTAACTTTAAAGTGTCTTGAAAAGAAGTAATGTAGGTCCTCCTGCTTTATTTTTTCCAAAAATTATTAATTATTTTGGTTATTCAAGTCACTTTGCACATGCATAAAAGAATCAGCTTGTGTTAATAACATCTTTGGGACCATTTTTTCCCAGTTTTACCTCTTGAACGTGCTTTTGGGATGCAGCTTTTAGCACTTCAGCAACTTTCCTCACTCCGCCTTGTCTCCTTGGCCAACCCAAAGCTGACAGGGAAAAGATTCAGACTACTCAGACTTGGGACAATCAATTATGATAAGACACATACAAATTTAAGTTACAACACTAAAATTAAGTAGTTATAACAAACAATAGTATAAGGCATGTTTCCCCAAAAGCAGAACCCGAGACAATGACTTAGATGCAGGTAGTTTAACTGGGAGGCAGGAAAAATGGCAGAGCAGGGAGAGACGTGGGGCGGGAGGGCCAGGCAAACAAGGGCATTTCATCAAAGTTGTTGTTGGCAACAAAGGCTCACTTCCCTGAGGACTACAGAGGAAGGTGCTAAATGCCTTCCATAACAACCCACCTGGAAGCTAGGAGGCTGGAGTGTTTATGCACTGACTTCCTCCTCCATTGATTAAGGGTTTCTGTTGATGGGGGGATGCAAACTCCCTTGAATCTCAGGGAGCTTCAGTGATTTCAAAGAGAGCAGAGCGCAGAAAGACCCATGGCACCTCTGCAACACACCTGCTGCAGAGGTGAGCCAGGGGACGTGATGTGGACAACAGGTGGGCGTGCTCCCTCATGTCATGAGCAATGTTGCCTCTGAGTTTACTTATTTAATTATAATAATTTTATTGTGTTTTTATTACCATTTAGTCTCCTTACATCCCCCTTCCTCCCTCACAATCACCACACTGTTATCCATGTTCATGAGTCCTTTTTCCTTTTTGCTCAATCCTTCCACTCCCTACCCTCCTCCCCCCTTAGCTGTCATCCTGCTCTCTATGAGTCTGTCTCTATTTTGCTTGTTAGTTCTGTTTGTTCATTAGATTCCACATATGAATGAAATCATATGGTATTCGTCTTTGTCTGCCTGGCTTATTTTACTTAGCATAATGTTCCCCAAGTCCATCCATACAGTCCCAAAGGGTAAAACTTTCTTTTTTACAGCTGAGTAGTATTCCATTGTATAAAAGTCCCCTAGTTGTTTTATCCTCTCATCTAGTGCTGGACATTTGGACTGCTTCCATATCTTGGCAATTGTAAATAATGGTGCAAAATAACGTGGAACGCTTCACAAATTTGTGTGTCAGCATTGTGCAGGGACCACACTAATCTCTGTATTGTTCTAATTTTAGTTTGTGTGCTGCCAGGTGAGCATTCCTCTGAGTTTTTAAAGTTCTGACTGAGAAGCCTTACTACTTGAGCGGTAGAATAAAACCAGTGTAAGAAGGGTCCAGTGCTTACTTTGTTACTTTCATGAGTGGATTTTGTGTATGGAACACTATGAAGAATTTCAGTTTCTCCCTCTAGAAGAAGAAGCACTCACGGAACAGAAGAAACTTGAAGATATATTGAGCAAGGAACTATGCATTTCTCCAGAATTTGCAGAAATTTGGGAGAGGGTCTTTTGACTTTCATAACATGTTTGAGACTACCTGATCTCAAACTTAAGAAACTAAGAAATCTGTTATGACAAAACTGAATCCGATTCCAAGTAACGATGTGCTTCGTAGTTAAGTATACATATACTAACATTAATCAGGTGACGCCTAAATCTTTCCCAACAAACTTCCTTTACCGTGGCCCTACCTGGGACTTTATAATAAAGGGAACAGAGAAGTGACAAGAGAGAGGAGAGGACATAGAGGAGCAGAGGGTGCCCACCCGGGTTTTGGCTGAGAGGAGTTGAAGACTGAGAACCCGAGCTCCATCTCTCCCGCTTTCAGGGCCAGCCCTCCAGCAGCAAAACGCCTGGAAAACATTTGCCTCATGTTGTGTTTGCAGACAACCAGGACTGATGTGACTTTCCGAAGTAGTGAGATGAGTTTTTCTTTTCTTGTTGTTGTTATTGTTGGTGTGGGTGGTGTATGGATGTTTATGTGTTTGTGTGTAAATCTATGAAGGAACTGTGCTTTCCATGTTGGTACACCAAGGTTTGTTCATTCAGGCTGAAGGTGGGCAAGGGAATGTTTTCCACGGCTTCGATTGTGTCACTCCCTGTTTACAAGGTTCCCAGGGCTCCTTACTGTGAAGAAGTATACTAAAGTAATTAAATGTTGGGGCAGCAAGCCATATATGGGAATATTTGCACATCAAAAATAAATAATTATGGCAGGGGGAGGGCAAGAATAGTATGGGAAATGTAAAAGCTAAAGAACTTAAGACACATACACATGAACTAAAGGAGGGGAATGTGGGAGGGAGAGGGCGTGCAGGGTGGAGGGGAATGAAGGGAGAAATGGGACAACTGTAATAACATACTCAATAAAATATATTTTAAAAATAAATAAATAAATAAATATGGTAATGGATTATAATCCTGTGTTCAAGGATCCCCAAGGCCACCCTGGCCTTCAGTGATTTCGTATAAGGACTCCCAGGTTAGAGAAGTTGGTATGCTGATGGTTACAGTTTGTTACTGTGAAAGAATACAGATCAGAGTCAGCAATGGCAAAAGGTGCATAGTGCAGAGTACAGGGGAGGCCAGGTGCAAGTTTGCACTTGTCCTCTCCCATTATTATAATGTCCTGTAGACACTAATCACATGAAGTGTTGTCAACCAGAGAAGCTCACCTGAGCTTTGGTGCCCAGGGCTTTTATTGGGGGTCAGTCACATAGGCATGGCTGACTGCCCTGGCGACTGAACTTGATTCTCTAGCCTCTCTGTCAGAGGTCAAGCTGACCATAAATAACATTGTTAGCATAAGCTATCGGTATGGACTGAGGCCTCAAATAAACAAAGATAGTACTTTTTATCCTCATCTGAGGATATATTTTCATTGCTTTTAGAGAGAGAGGAAGGGAGAAAGAGAAGCATTGATGCAAGAGAGAAGCATGGGTTGGTTGCCTACTGTATGCGCCTGGACCAGCATCGAACCTGTCTGTCACCAGACAATGCTCCAACCAACTGAGCCACACTGGTCAGGACTAAACAGAGATATTCTTAACAGGCACAATAGTCAAAGTGCTTTAAAGTTATTGCCTTGGAGCCTGACAAGGGCCATACCTTTCTTTGGAAAGTACAGGGTTTGGACGACCTGCATCTGTGGAATTAATTCTTTGACTAAAATAAGAATCCATGAGTCTGTATCAAAACAAACAGATAATTTTAAAAGTTCCTTCTTGTAAAAGAGTAACTAATGATCACAGGAGAAATAATGGAGTTAGAAAAATCACTATTTGGTAACCACACTAATACTTAATTCAAGCCAAGAATCATTAATGGATGCACTGATGAGTTGACTGGCAGTCGCCCACAAGATCTGTCCAATGTGACTTTATTTGGGAAAAGGGTCTTTACAGATGTAATTAGATTAAGTATGTTGAGATGAGATTGTCATTGGTTCTAAATTCAATGACAAGTGTTCTTATAAAAGACAGAGCAGCAGACAGGCATACAGAAGAGAAGGCAATATGAGACAGAGGCAGAGACGGGAATAATTCGGCCACAAACCAAGGAATGCTGCTGGAAGCTGGAGTAGGCAAGAGAGAATCCTCCCCTAGAGCCTCCAGGGAAAACACGGCCCTGCAGACATCTCGGTTGCAAACTTCAGGCCTCTAGAATTGTGAGACCATACAATGTTTGTTGTTTGAAGCCACCCAGTTTGTGATAATTTGCTGTAGCAGCCACAGGAAATTAATATAGATGCTAAAACCAAAGGCGAAAGAATGATGCTTTAGGAGTTTAGAAAGTCTTAAAGTACCCACAAGATTCTTATTAATTATAAAGGGAAATACAGTAACTCATTAGTGGAGAAACTTGGCAGTGGCCCTTTACAAAACTCATTGGGTTTCAGAGTCAAAGACAGCTGGTTTGAACTTTCACCTATATCATTACCAATTTATATTAGCTGGAATGAATTTGAGAGTTAGTTAATTTCATTAAGTCTCCATTTCCTGAAGAATGGGAATATTAGCAACTAATATCCACATCTTAAGACCATTTTTTAAAATATTTTATTTATTTATTTTTAGAGAGAGGGGAAGGGAAGGGAAGGAGAAAGAACGGGAGAGAAACATCAATGTGTGGTTGCCTCTCATGTGTCCCCTGCTGGGGACCTGGCTTGCAACCCAGGCATGTGCCCTGACTGGGAATTGAACCAGCAACCATTTGCTTCACAGGCTTGTGCTCAATCCACTGAGCTACACCAGCCAGGGCTAGACCATTTTGAGGATGAAATGAGACCATGCATGTAAAGCCCATAGCACAGGATCCAGCACAGAAGTATTCAACACATGTTGGTTATTCTAAGGAGAACAGCTATTCACCTACAGAATGAAGTTTAAAGTTCCTGTAATATATTCAGAGAGATAAAATAAACATTCAATGAAAGATTTTACGATCAGGCCACACCCCTATCTTTCTAGCTCCTAATTAAACTGCGTTTCATTCCCAGACATCCTGGTCTCCAATCATTCAACCTTGCTTCTTCTAGACCGCTGATCAGCTAAGCCATTCACTGGAGCCCTAGAATTCATCCATATCAATAGCACAGACCACTCCCTCGACACACAAAATCGATTACCAAAAATGCTTTTTGAAGCTCTTCGGACTCCATTGCTCTCTCTCTGAGGGCGTGACAGGCAACCGAGAGGGCAGTAGAGGACGAAGGACAGGGTCACGCCTCAGAGACCCAGAAAATGGTAGTGGGACTTAATTTGTTTTAATTTCTGACATTGACCTAACAGATAAAAATAGGACTGTTCTGGCAAAGACAGAGCTTATAGTTCCCCCAGTGTCAGAAGCGACAGGAAAAATGAAAAACTAAGTACCCTTCCCCTAACCAACCCAGTTCTCACAAACATACCCGATATTCTCGGTGAAACTGCAAACCAGACCTTCTCAGATCTAATTACTGATTGGTCTATTTATAACATTGGACTGTATGGACTTACTGACTACATTTTTAATCAGGCAAGCCCAAATCCTGCATTTCCCAAGAAGCCAATAAATAAGGCGGCCTCGGTGGAGATGAAATTCTGCGGCTCCCTCCCTCAGCTGATGGCCTCCATTAACTTAAAGCAAGTTGCTGAATCCTGGGTCTCAGTTTCTTCAACAACAAAATGTGGATGATAAACTACTCAGTCTAACTCCAAGCTACGGACCAGTTGAAGTAGTGATTAAAATTTTTTCTCATTTACTTATTTTTAGAGAGAGAAGAAGGGGAGAAGCATTAATGTTGAAACATCAGGGACCAAACCTAGAACCCAGGCATGTCCCCTCACCAGGAATTGAACAGGTGACCTTCTGCTTTGTAAGACATCGCCCAACCAACTGAGCTACACTGGTCAGTTCTGAAATATTTAGTGATTTTTGAATGGGATGGGAGGAAGGTCGGAAAATGTGGAAAATGTGGGGAGACTGTTCATGGATATATTCTAAACCAGGGATGTCAAACTCATTTTCACTGAGGGTCACATCAGCCTCGAGGTTGCCTTCAAAGGACCTGGCTGAATGTAATTTTAGAACTATTAAATGTAACTACTCCTTGATAGTTAAAAAAAAAGCTCGGTGCTGCCTCAGGGTAGAAACAAGGTGCCAGGCGGGACAAAACAAGGTGGAGGGCTGGATTTGGCCTGCAGGCCTTGTGTTTGCTACCTGTGTTCTAAACCATCACTAACGCCTAGACAATAAACTCAGAAGGAAGTGAAGGGAGGAAGAGACACTCCTCTAGTGGAGGATTTCAGTTCATCCTGTAAACAAACTGGCATTGATTTAATCAACTTTCAAATCCTGTCCCCTAATTTTAGGACTGAGATAGAACTTCTGATTTATTTAGAGTGGAGTATGTAAATGACTAAATCAACCTTCTAAATGAGTATTTTTAAAATAGTATATGTATGTATTCATTCAATAAATATGTATTTAGAGCCTACTATGATGCCAGGCATAGCACTAAGTGCTGGCTACACAAGTATAGATTAAATATAACTCCTGCCTTTAAGGAACTCACCATTATCTGTGAGGAAAAGGGGCAGATACACAACTAACTGTAATGAAAATCATAGTGTTAAACATAGTATAATTAGCACCACAGGGCAACTGAAAAGGAAGCAATTGGTTTTGCTTTGGTAAGCTGGGGTAATGTCATGGAAATCAAAATGTTTGATCTGGATTTTGAAAGATGAGTACAAGTTCAACGGGCAAAGAATGGAATG